TATGAAGCTATCAACGAAATGAAGGGAAAAGAACGAAAAGAAAAGGATCGCGCTGATCTGGCCAATTAATCATCTAATTGCCTAAACTAAAAGCGGAGCAAAAAAAAAGACGCGTTTCCGACGGAACGGAAAAATACGACAGAAGAGTACTATTAGCTTGACCGATTCGTTCCAACACAGCATCAGCTATTGACTGCCAGCTACTTTACTAATACTGCTATCACTAACTAGCAGAATAGCTAGGCAGAGACCAATAGGAAGTACACTGGAAGAAAGAAGACAAAACCTGTAAATTAATGTCGCTGCTGCCGCTGTTATAGAGATTCTGGTGTGCTAAGTTCCAAGACACGATCGCAATAACTGGCGGCTAACGCTGAGGAAGTTGACAAAGCCCGGTCAAGTTGAGAGTTTTGACGGCATTGTTGTATGTGCGATGTACTGTGTGTGCCATTATGAGGGCTGGTGCTAGTCGTGTTCTACGCTGTGAATTCGAGTGATCGAATAGAAACTAAAGGAGCATTGATCTATTGTCGTTTTCGGTGTCTATGGCGATATGATCGCAACGAGAAGTGTAAAAAAAGCAGAGAATAGCACATCTTTTTGAAAATTACCGCCTTATCATTTCATTATCTCGAGGTCCCATCGAAAACGGCCGGCAAGGCAGGCATTAATTTCCACGAGAGCCCCTTAATGTATTAGTGTCGCTCGGTTTCGAGTTCATTAAGAAAAGGAAAATCGTCTCTAGCAGTTGCTCATCACTAGCAGCTGTTGATTCGTCTCGTTACGAATCGTTGTGCCGTGACGATCTCGGAAACGAACGTCAAAAGAGGAAGTCGCCAAGTGAGCTGACCGCCAACAGCATACAGAAATTAATACCACTACTTATAATAATAATAATATACTTTGTACAACTATATATAATAGATTTTGTGAGTGTGCCACCGTTACCACGGGTCGCTGGAGCGGTGACTTCGCGGGTATATCGTGGCGGAATCGTTACAGAGTGCTGAGGGAGTTGTTGGTTGTTTGCCGTTAATTTGAGATGTAAAAAGTTTGAGATGTAAAAAGAAAGATGAGTATTAAAGAGTTGTTGTGTATGTGAAGAAGTTGCTGCTGCTATACCAGTGCTGCGCATATATCCCATTTACATGCGAGACCTGCGGAAATGCTCATGTAAAGTTAGCTGGCAGGGTCAGTGATCCACGTTTAATCAGGCTAGCTCTCATTTTCTTCGTTCATTGATATCCGAGGCCAGTGACGACAACTACTAATAATACTGTGACAATTACTCGGTAAATTCGACGGCGAGTGACACAAGCGATGCTCACATCCAAATTACCATCAAGTGTCGTGTCTGCCATGTATTCCTGTTAGAGTTCCGATCACAGCCATCGTCTTGAGCTAGGACGTCGTCGCGGCACGGCATTTATGGCTGCACATGGGCAGGGTGACAGTTTTACAGTGGTCGCAGATCTCGTGTTGAGTGATGTTGCTGTTGTCATTCAACGGTTACAGGAGCGACAACTTCGATAGGAAAAATAATACTAATATTAATTCGGCGCCCATATTATTATTGCTACCACTATCGATTGTGGAGTAACAAAGGATGCAAGGAAATCTGCTTGTTAGTGAACCGCTTAGCACAAGGAATATTGCGTATGAAGCAAGAACATGACTTGATTTTGTGAGAGAGATATTCTCTCTCTCACACAGACACGCACACACACACACACACACACACACGTATTCGTTGAACGTGTGCTCTTTTGCCGGCGGTGAATGTAAAGAAGGACAACGCCGAGCACAACGTGAAGAAGAGGTTCGCAGATAGTTTACGGACGAAAAACTGAAGAAACGGCAGGGGCGAAGCTTTTCGACGGGGGGGTATCCCAACAAGCCTCAAGGTAAGAGCCGTGATCAACATTATAATGGCAAGGGGAGTATAGGGCACAGAAGCGATTACAGAAAATATCGGGCGGGCAGGTGCATATACATCTAGCGATCCATGTACATGCCAGAAGGGATTCAAAAAATCATATTGATATGCACTGAAGCGGTTGTTTCGAGCATGTTTGACCTTAAGCGAAAACCGCGACGGAAGAACATAAGCTGACAGAATGGACACAAAATTATGGCTGGGGTTTCGTATAAGCTCATGCGCAATCGTTTGGGTTTATGTGCTGTTTTCTCGTTCAAATTTTTCTCGGCCAAAGTATAGACTCTTATGCGCTTTAGAGCGGCTGATACGGCTGGCATCAAAATCCGTGCATGCCTCTCGTGCTACAGCAGTTTGCATATCCTACTGGTGTAAGCAAATTATAACTATGGTACCGCCAAATTTGACTACGAGACGTCATAATTGGATTATGGACAACCATGTGGTAATATTATTCGCATCGCTTGGACGATGGTGGGTATTTTGACAAATAAGTGTGTTCTAACTTGATATACCATTCAACATGCTGCTTCGTCATATATATAATCGAAAGATAAATTTGGAGAACTTTTTTGAGCAAATTTTACGAGAAGAAGACTCTACAGTGATAACTTCAAGCATAACAAGCATGAAAAAGCTCATTTTGTATATTTCATAATATGGAGTCGCTGTATTTTTTTCACATTAGATCTTAAAGTTGTGTTTTGCACTACAAAGCACCCGATCGCGGCTAACCCGCTGATGAGATGAAGTCGAGCTTATCTTCCATCTCTTTTTAGAATAGACATAGCCTGTGAAATGATTTTATTGTGTAGTTCAGCGGTAAAGATGTCTCTATAGATGCATGCACCCAGCACATTTGCTTATCGCTTGAGACTTGCTGGTGAACTTCCGAGATGCATCATAGTGCAAGCTATATATCGGGGAACAAATAGGTTCATGTTAAACCAAGTGGTTTCTTAAACAAATAAATTCTGCTACTGTATGATTAATGAGTGAAGTTTATCTGTGTTGCCTATCTCATTTTGGAGCAAACCCTATATGCAGTGAATTGGCATTTCCACACACTCAGACAGAGCAATACAGTTAGACGCACGCTGAAACCTCTACAAATAACCTCATCCTTTTGTGTTGGTCCTCAAGCTCCACTAGTTATATACTTTAACTTAACCTGTTTGTTTTAACGCGACAATATCATTTTGAGCGCAGATCAAAACTCTAGGCTGCGTTTCCATTGCTGTTCGATGTCTAAGTCTGTCGGTGCCGCTCTGAAGAACCAGTAGTGCTTGCCGAAGCTACAGCTGCGTTCGCTCGTAGCTGTCTTTTGTTATGTCGATGTCTTCTTTACTAAGTTCAGCCGTCACTATCGTGAGTAGTAAAATGGAGTGGAGTGGAGTTAGTGACCAAATAATTGAAATACTAAAGCATACCCAGACACGACAACACCCGAACGGCCGATCAACATCATCCGACGTTCATTTTACCTCTAGGGGGCCTTGGCTTATTTCTAATCGAGTTGCAGTTGCTGCGAACGCAGCCTTTGCTAGCGTAACGTTACCGTGACAACAGTCAAATAATCGAAAACTATCACAACTTGACGTTTATGCTGTAGTACTGAAATATAGCATTTTGGACAGATTAGATAAAATAGCTCAGTGATGGCTCCTCTACTGAGATCACTCTGCACCCTTTTTGCGCCCATGTTTCAGCCGCCATTTTGTTGAACTGCCGAGTTCACTGCAGTTTCACATTTTAGTGTTGTATCGCTAGCTCCGGTCCTATTAAAACATATCGCTACTATTGCTGTTGATTAATGATAACAAAAAAAAGAAAAACAAAAAAAATACGCCCACCGAATTACCGTAGTACCGTAGCAGTTGCCGGACAATCAGGATAGTGGCATTTGCGGAGATGCAGCGTGTGTTAACCTAGGTTGCTACCGCTAACACAAAAGTACGCCGCCGCTGCCTCGAGCGAAACATAATGCTGGTGTTGTTGATCGAAGAAAGCAATCAGCATAGATTTTATGTTTTGTCCATAGACAACGTCCACTGACTGTTCGCCTTTATCATTGAATGCTTCGTCAATAATGAACGCGGTCGTTAGCCCAACGGATCAACAGGTCCAAAGCCAACAACAGAATTAACCTATTGTTTTTGACACATAGTTGATGCCTGCCGGTTTGCTATTGAAGCGCTGAGGTGCTCAGTCAACTATTTCGGCATTGTTTTCCCAACGATTATCAGTCTCAAAACGAATGCTTCAAGATGTCCATCTGTGTAATGATATAAATATTATTACATGAAGATGCAGGACTTGTATTTATAGGTCAGGTTTATGAAACAGAAGCGTATAATCATATTATGCTACAACATACATGTTCAACACTTTTTGTTGCCGGGTTACATATACAACAACATGAGCAGACATTACGCGTAAAGAAAGATGGCGACGTTTTTAAAACTAAACTGAAAGGCACAACGTTCGTAAAGGCACAATTTACTACACATATTTAACTCTTGACCATACCACACTGAAGACATATACATATATATTCCTTAAATATTTTCTTGTACGTTTTCACTGATAGTTTTTGTGAGCTGGTCACCTCGACCCATATCAGGTTCGTTTGTGCGACCTTGCGTGTATTGGAAGCTGGGCGGATTCGTCGTAGTTTCAGTTGTGTTCATTGAGGCACAGGAAAAGCAGATGCCGGGAAGGATTCCCTTATACAGCCATGCTATAATAAAAAATATGTGCCTTCTTCATGTATGGTCGCATATTCAGTTCTGATTTACTGCCTTAGAGTTTTATGCCAGAGGGTGTACTAAATGTTAGCTTGAGCTAAATGAAAAAAAAGAAAATAACCGAGATGCGTTAATACTGAGCGTTTAGCCATCTCGTTCTTTCTTTTTATTAGTCGATGCTGGCAGTTGAGAACTTTTCAGGTAAAGGTAGCATATGTGCACCATATACGAATGGGAACACCATATACCCTGGGAACGTCTGCTGTCGTTATGATAGTACCTGCACTTGTGAACTAATTTAAGGAAATCAAATGGTTGAACAATGCTGCTTAATAGTATTCTTATCAGCATGACCTCTGTATTTGTGTTGATAAGAGCCACTGACAACGCGTCTAATACGACGAACAGGAAGCGAATACCCTTTAGTATTCTACGCTCTCAGCAGATGCATCTTTCAGCGAAGTAAACGAAAAACTTCCGTCGCCTGTCAGAAATTTGGGGTGCACAAACTTATGTAAATACGTTTCACGGAGATATTCTCTTTATGGAGCCTAGAGAGGGAAATCGCTTGGTACACGTGTGCATTTATTCAGCAAGCTGTCACTTTCAGCATAGTCATATACCGATCTTTTTCTACTTTCAATATTCATGCTTGTAAGAATATTATAGGCTGGCCGAGAGTCACCTATACTTCTTTATATAAAATGCACTGTGTATACGAGCTAGTCGTATGGTATCATTAAATTGCCACACCATAAAACAACGTTTTAATGTTAAAAAATTCATATGCTAAAGGTAGAGTGACTGAAGAAAAAAGGACCTCCATATTTGCGGCTGAAAATGTCCACGTAACAGCTACGTTATTAGGTTTCTATTTTAAACTTAAGAGGCTGGCTTGCTGCATCTGTCTATCTAATATTTCGGTGATTTAATTATTTAAGAAATTTATGTGAGTATATATTAGATAATACTTTAAAATAGCATAGTGAACAAACAGGCATGCAGAGCCTGAACCCTGTTTCTTAGTATTTGCTATAGTTTCTATGAGAGCTTCACTTGCAACCATTAAAATCATACTGCTGATATAGATGTATGATTCTACCTCGATCAGTCGTTATAGATAGGTCTGCTGTACAATATTCAAAGACGAGTTGTCTTTAACCCTATGAGCACCTTACAATGGCGTACGAACTAAAACCTATTTACACAGGTGTCAAACGAAGCGGATTATTGGTTGTTTCTATTAAATAAAAACAAAAGGGAATTTTTTTGGCTGGTACTCCTGCACCGTTATTCATCCATAACAACACGTTTCCTGAATCGTACGTAGTCATTCAGCACTGTTCATGAACTGGCTCAGGCAATATAATTTTATTACCCATCAGACTGTGAACATTAGAACGTTCGCCGTAAAAATCAGGAAAATTTCCGAAGGACGGCATTTACGGGTTCTCAAAGCGATGAGAGAAATAATCCGCGCATTTCTGCGATTACTTCCTTTGCGTCTACATTTAAATAATCTTTCCTCTAAGACAGTAGTCCTTCCCGTGAACTTAGTACTGTCAACACACACAGGATGCTATTAATTATGCTATCAGCCTTTACTCTATATAAAGATTAAAATATAGTGGAAATGAGTCTTTTTTTTTATCTTTCGGTTTATTATTCATTATTTTTGGGATTATATTAAAAATAGGAACAACAGCAGTTATATATGAAAGGCCGTTTCCTCGCTGAAACATTTTACACAAATTTATAATAATACCAGCGGGCTTCAATTCTTTGAAGACTGGATCGTTGCTCAAATTTATGTGGATTGTCTCAATGAGACCTGCATAGCAGATTAAGATATTTTAACTTAAATCTGTAGTTAAACTCTTAAATTTAGAAGTTGCAATAAAGTTTGTAACTTTATTTTTGTCCTCTTATCCTATAGAACCGAACACTTGCATAAAAATTTAATTGTACTTTATTGTCATCTCATATCTAGCATTGAGTATCTAAACTCTAAAGACGAGTTTTTCAAGGGTAAGTTTTAATGGCAAGAACAGAGTTTGGGGCTAGCGTTCAAAGGCTAGTTTGATCTTCGCCGCTACAAAGATTTCTAAACATTACGCGACTTATACTAACACATCAGCCCTGTCAATTATGTTTTGAAATTGCAGTATGTGCGAGAAGCGGCTGCAGGTATCGAAAGCTGATTACACCAAATCGTTATGTGTTGCTTATAATCAATAGGCAATCAATAGATAATCAGTTGCTTAATCTGTTGTTATTATCAGCGTGGTTTAGTATCGATTGGTCGTCTCTTATACATACATATATTTGCTTAAAAAATTCAAAAAGGCTGTTATTTAAAAGACTCATTGATTTTCATACTACAGTAGTCAAGCACCTACGAAGACAATTTAATAGTGCCTGTTGTGGCGGGTACATGACGTAGCATTAAAATGAATGTTCCTTATTCGAGCTAACGTCCTAATCTTTGGCCTTACGATGGCGGGCAGACAGCTGGTGTGCCAAAGTTAAACAACATCTGGAACCCGCCGACTTGTTACCTATATACCTACACCCGTGTAACGAAAAATTCAATTGTGGCCTACTGTCACCATCGACTAAACCGCTAACTGACCGGTCTTTAGCCAAATCTTTCATACCATGCGAATCACATCATTTATGACAGCGAATTGTATTTGTTCGAAATGACAAATTAAAGTTAATTTGAGTTCCTTTACCTTAATTGTATCCAAATATGGATAATCGTACTGGACAGAAAGAAAAGAATTGCTATGGAAAATTGCAGAGAGAATATTTTCATCTGATTTGTGTCCGTTTCGTGTTCCATTCGTCAGCATTATTACACGAATCGTTTTCGAGTAATAATAATCGTTATAATATAGACAATATTGGAAATTTGTCAGCTAATAATTTGAGCGGATCAAAATATTACAGTGTTATACCGTGGCATGCAGTTACTTTACTACTCATTATACGTCATTTTGAGAAACTTAAATATGGCATATTACTGTCGTGAGTTATTTGCAAGCTGTGTCGAGGGCGCCTAGCAATTGGCTATACGTTGAAGTTCTTGCGTGTCGATAATAATGGCATACCTTTTTTTCAAGGTTTGTGTCACGTCATTGAGGTTTTACAATTTTCCTTCAGTAAAAAAATTACTAAAGAGGTCAATAAAAGTATGTTTAATGCATAACTTATATTCTATGTCTACTATATGAAGCTTTATAAGTCAGCATATAAAATAAGCGATCCCTTTTTCAGAAAACAGTATTTCCTTGAAGTCTTGAATATATACGGAAAAGTAAGGAATACATGAATATATTAACTGTATGAATATATACGAATTTCAGTCATAAAGTGATGGAGTGTTAATAATAATATTCAGGCTTACCAGTACCGGAACTTGAATTGCTAATTTTCAGTTTCCCGTTGTTCATTGTTCCCTTTCGTTGGTTTCCAGATGGCCACGAATGGGACAGGGAATGACGAGGGGGGTGGTGTAGATCCAGGCGGTACAGACGGTGCTGCCTGCGATACCCCGGCCATACCAGAGGGTTCAGTTGTCGTTAGTCGGGAGGATGCAGCTAGTGGAATACATAGAGGATCGGGAGGTTTAGCTGGTCAAGGGCCTGCTGCTGTTTCGGCGACAACAACGCACTCTGCAGAAGCGTCAGGGGCAATAGCTGTCGTGGCTGAAAGTCCCCAGACTGAGACTGGTCCAAGCGCAGGTATCACCACTGTACCATCTTCGACAACGTTTACTCTGCAACACCAACAGTCAGCGGCGACATCAACAGGCGTTTCAAACAAAGAGGAAGTGCATGTAAAGGCGCTAAAGACGGTTAGCGATTCTTGGTTTGCCCTGAGCAGAAAAGCGGGCACCGACAAAGCCACTCTTATGGATCATTATCGACGACTATTCAAATTGACTCTAATGTTAGTTGAGAAGTATGATTCGGAGCTTGACTCAACGATGCGAGCCCATGTCCTTGAAAGGATGCGGTTATGTCACATGGCGTTGGCGCCCCGCGTCCCGTCACTCGTACAAATCTACGCAACGATAGAGGCCGTCTTCGCGACTGCTAATATTGACGTATGTGTTTTGCCGATATTTTGTTTGAGTTAAATATATAGGCGCTATGTTTCGATTAAGTACTCACTTTCTGTTCTAAGTTCTGAACGTGCGTGGAGTTTGTTATTGCTGATAACTCTACTCGCGTTCCACAAATAGCACCGCTTTCCACGGCACCTACGCAGTTATAAATCTACTGAACTGTAATTATCTTTGCCTCATGGTGGACTTTATCTAGTATTATATTATGCATAAAGTACAACTATAAGATTGTGAGGAGCAAGGGTAAACTGGAATGATGATTTTTGTAAACTTTAATCCATTTTATCTCAATTGAATATTTATCTTCATTGAATAGCGGGCCTGCTTTCGTCGGAAGATTAGTGACCTGACCCGGGCAGCTGATTGTTTGACGAGCGATCCCGTCGAAAGCTACCTAATACCGAAGAATGCGGTAGAGTCAACCCCTGGAGTTCCTGCGACTTGTCAAATCGCAAGTGCTAATACAGAACGGGTGGAGCAACCTATGGATGTAGATGTAAAACCCTCTCCAAGTGGATTGTCTACAGCGGAGACTGCTGTGGATGTAGATAGTCATGGAGTACAGAAAGCTGTTCTGCCCACTGTACTTTCTGCTACAGAGAACTGCGATTCGAGTATGGTAAAAACCGAGCCCAGTTTGCCAGCGCAACCGCCTAGGCAAGGAGCTAACGTGCAACGCGGGGTTTCCAAAACTGGGGTCCCCGCGTCTAAAGCAGCTGAGGTCGGTTCATCTCTGAAAGTGGCCGTCGTGACCCCGACGAACCGTCAAAATAATAGTGCTAATAATCCAGATCGACCATGGGGCGTTCAAGCGTGGCTAGAACACCAAGAGCAGGTAGGCTAATTAAGCCTTAGTTTGATTAATTATGGAAGAATTCTTAAAATTTCGGAGAGGCGATATCTCTTATCATATACAAGAAAAAACGTAAAGACATGCAATAAACTGAATAATAAGTTTATATTTATTGATTTCGTAAAATATCGAAAATATTAGAGAAATAAATAGTGGCTTTCGTACTACCAATGCGTGTCGTAATGTCTCGTTCTTCATACACCCTTTTTTTTGTGTTCCTATTTGTTGCTGTGTAATTGTTACCGATATGCTAGGTTGTGCCTGAAAGAGCACCGCCGGACGATGCTATGCCCACTGAGGAAGTGTTGGAGAAGTTGAACGAGGTTTACCGTCAGGCCGTTGATGCCGACGATACTTTGGCCAATTTCTGCAAAACCATTGCTAACTTAAGCTGTCATAGAGGCGTTCAGCTGGGCTGGCAATGTTTTCGACGAACGGAAGGTAGATATATAAGAAAAATGTAAATGTGTAACAATTCCCTGGCAGTTTATGAAACGGCCTTGCCAGAAAAACACAACCATACCCTTAGTACGAACTGGCAGTAACAGTACGCTCTGAAGTTATACTTATTCTCATAAGTCATCAAATTAGTCGATGAAATGTCTGCAGAAAGCAATGCCATGAGTATGTTCAATATATTAGGTAGTTAAATACGAGAATACCACTGAATGTACCATTCGGCAGGATTATTTAACGTCCGGAAAGTGAATGTTTGTTAGATGAGAGCTGGGTTGCGACATGCAAGTAAAAATTTAATAATATAATTAAAACTCAATTTGATTCTCAAAATATTACTATGGCCATAAGAAAAAATCGGAACACTTAAATTTGCATTTTTTAGGCCCCCCTGAGTGTACTGAAGCACTCGTCTCAACGTTCTTTCTTAAGGACCTGATTAATGAAGAATCTGAACACTGCTGCACACGAGACCTCATGTTACTTTGGGTTCGAATGCAGAAACATCGGCAAATGGGCGCACCAGAAATCGGTCGGCTAGCATCGAGTATCCTTGATAGGCACTCAGATAAGTCAGGGTTGTTCTATTTAATGTTTGACGTCTTGTTGGAGGAATGCGGCTTCGTGGGCTATCCTGTGATGATTGATTTAATGCTCCGAGGAATGGGTGTTGATCTAAACGATATCGAGGAGTGCGAGCATCGGGGAGCCTCCCAGGATCTCGTACGAGCCGAAATCGAACGAAATCTCGCTCGTCAGATGCTCAAGTGGTGCGTCGTATTCGAGGACTTTCCGCTAGTAATGCGTGAATGCGCCTTTTCATCCTTTTCGCTGTATCCGACCAAAGATGCACTCGACCTCATCAAGGCGTAAGTTTTCTTTTGGCACACAAGTTGAATTAATTTGTTTATAGTTCTATGCTGCTGCTGATTATGGTGGTGATGATCTTTGGCTATTTTATTCCTTCGTTAACCGAATCGGCAGTGTTTAAGACCTAAAATGTATCGCACGTTCCGTGCTGATTATAGAGTGTCATTGCGGATCTGCGAGAACCGCGACCCATCTTGTCGGTGTTATGGACACCAGATCGAGGATATGCCTGAACCGAGACAGCCTGGAAGACCACAATACGAATTGTTGCCTCATGATGATATGTTTTTCTTTGAGCCCGTGCTCGACAGCGAGGTGCCGGGTGTACATTACGATACGCTCAAGGATATGGTCACCGTGTTGCATGCTGTTCGAACGCCCGTCCTTACACTTGGCGATGACCTTGAAAAGTACATAGAAGACTTTTACGCCAGGGGCCGGTATGTAAATCATCATTGCGTATTCGCAACACCCACCTACATATAAATATATATATATGATTTAATCATATACATTGATCAACACCAGACTATTTGTTCAGGTAGTGAAACAGCCATTGAAGTCCGGTTCCGTTTGGAAAAAGTAAGTATCAGTAAGCGGTACTTCCCTTGTTTTTTGGTTACGTTTATTTTAAGTGGTTAACTGGTGGTTTCTTTTTGCGGTGTTGCGCAGTGGTTCTAAGTTACCGACGGAAATGAGGCTAGTAGCCCAGGCGTATGGTGGGGTCATTTGCGGGATAACAGACAATGTTCCCGGAACAGTAGCGGTAGCAGCACCCGAAGATTCAGCGGATTCCGAAAGCGATTCGGATTCGTCCGCCGGAAGCTCGGAATTTCGACGTCGTCTCGACCGACAGCGTAAGGAACTCGGGCCAGAGCTTGGACGATCGGGAGGCAAGAAAGCAGCTGGCGCTTGTCATAAGTTGAAAACGAAGGACAAAACGCGACCAGCTGCGCGTCGGTCAACTAGACAGCTCGAGCGTGAAAAGGCAACCGCCGGGCAACAAGGCGGTGAGAATAGAGCAATAAAACTACCCGATCAGCAAGAAGATGGCGACTCGCTATTTCAAGACGCGTCGCTTGAAGCTATTGAGTCGGAGGTTGAAGTTGACTCATCAGTTCTCTCGCCGGGTACCGTCTCGAGTGTAGCGTCATCGGCGGTGCCCCAAATTGTTGGAACTCCCGTCGAAGGAGTTGGCCTCGATGGAAGTAATGCCGACAATTCGGTTTTGTCGTCGACCGCACCCGCAAGTCAAGTTTCCGTTGTTATTCCAACACAACAGGCCAGCGTTGTCACGTCAAAGGTCGTCATGGTATCGCCACAACAGCTACAACGGGTACAGCTACCTGTAGCAAACAACAACTCTTCGAGTCGCCCTCATAAGATACAAGTTTGTTACTATATTTAAAAGCGTTACAATAATTCCCTTGTTTGTCATGCAAATTAACACGGTGCGCTTTAGCATTTCTAAACGTCAATTTTGTCATATCTTAAAATTCACCTTATCTATTGCCCATGTCCTCTGTGTGTTCCCTATAGACGTTGTACTGGACGTCCTATGACTTACACTTTTTACTGTATACTACTGCATGCACAACATGCATTTATCGATTACTTATATATGTTTATTGTTGTCGTCGTAATTGTTCAGGTGGTTCTTAACGGCCCTAAAGTGGAGGTGGCGGCAGCGGCGGCCGCTGCAGCAGCCGCTGCTCAGCAGCAGGTGGTCGTCCCTCAGACGACCGATATGACCCCGGTGGCCATCGATACTGCTCTAACAGCGTTGCAGCTGCCCGGCCAGTTGCAGCCGACAGGAAGGCAGCAAGGGGCCAAGATGAAACAGCAGCACCAACAACAGCAGCAGCAGCAGCAACACCAACAACAACAGCTCCAGCAGCAGACACAAGTTACAGGCGGTCAAGCTACTACGACGATTGGACCATGTCAACAAATACCTTTAGTTTCATCTACGAACAACCAGAGCAATCCCTTCCATTCAACGTCGTCCATGGTACCCGCAGCAGTTACCCCTGCGTCTACGACAAGCAGTCTGGTGGCCTCGGCGGTGCCAGGGGCGGCAGTTTCCACTATCCCCAGAGTCGCTGCAACAACACCAACAACCTCGCCAATAGCTATAGGAACAACGCCAATTTTAAAAAAAGCCAGTGAACGAAATCGATTAACCACGTCGACGAATGGCCAACCCTTGTCCCACTTGCATCAGCAGAAACATCAGCCGACTCCGCACAGTTCATCAACGGCAACGGGGCAACAGGTCGCCGTAACATTGGCAACAACGTCAACGACAAAAGTAATCGCAACCAAATCTTTGCCACCGAGTAGTTCTACCAGTCAACAACAGCCACAACAACGCCATCATCAGGGGGTGGTCGTGGCCAGGAAATCGTCACCCGCAAACGTCGCGAGTAGCAGCAGTAGTGGAAGCAGCAGTTGTAGTGGTGGCGCTGGCAGTTCTGGAGGTGCTGGTAGTTCTAATGGTTCCGGCAGCGCTCCCGGAGGTGGTCAGCTGAAGACGCCCAATTTTCGTGCTGTATTAGATCGATTCGATCGGCTGTGTGGAGTATCCTTAACTCCGCCGTCGCTGGCTGATAAACCGGTGAGATTGGAAGTCAGCGGGGGCTCAGGTACAGGGGCTATGGCTATGCCAAAATTGGCCAATGTGCAGATTCGTAATCCAAAAAAACTACCAGCAGCTACCCCTCTGTCGCCCAATGTAGCACCTGCAGGCTTGAATAGAGTCGCGCCTTCTGCAACTAAAAGTAGCTTTCTAGCCCAGCTGCCAGCCGATCCGACACGGGGCAAGATCAGCTCAGATTTGCTGAGACGGTTAAAGGAGGAAGTGGATAATAGGTAAGTGAAGAAGCTTTATCACAAAATTTTGGAAGTGTTTTTGATTCGTTACTAGTATTAGGATTGAGTAATAATTAACACACGTTGTAGAAAAGACACAGACGTCATGCATTTATGAACGTACGGATGAATTCAGATGAATTCAATCACTCCATAGAAATTCCTTCATATTCAGTTTTACCTCCGATTCTGCTGTTGAGCATTCTTCCTTTCTAACAAATTTTATTTTCACATCTTGCTATCTCTTCGCGGTACTGCCTTTTTGTACGCGGTCCGTTTTTCTTCTTTGGCGTCCATTAGGTGTTCAGGTGCGCCGATCACTCAATTCTTCAAGTGGCAATTGAAGAAGCCAGTGTTTACCAATCGTAAAGAGGTGGCCGTCAAGTTTAGCATCCGCAAGCAGGGCCCAGCCACGCCGGCGGAGAAAGAAAAGACCTGTCCCGCCGCCGACAGGACCTTACCGACCTCCGGAGGTCCCCAGCACTGCAACAGCAGCAGCCAAGCCAGAACAGCAACCAAAGCCAACCATGGTAATACCATGACGACGCCTTCCAACGCAGGCGGTACTAGCACATCACAGATCTACATTACTTCGCCAGCTGCCATCGTCACCGCTAGCACTACGACGCCTACGACGACACCAAAGGGCAACGCCAAGGCACGGGCCGTGGCCTCAAAAGCGACCGCTGCAACAGCAGCTGGTTGTACCCCGCAAGCGACAGTAAGCGTCAATCGGTGCAGTCCAGTAGCTGTTCGAGTAGCCAGTCCCGTAACCTCTAGCGGAGTGGGAACCACCAGCGTTTGCGTGGTGCCTAGCAACGGCAGCAATTCTACCGCGGTGATAGCCGGCACCCCTGGGGTCTCTACTGGGGTGAGCGTCATCACGACAGGTGGCGGAATGTCCACCTCCGTCGCGAGTGAAAGTGGGACTGGCGTGAGTGGCGTGGCAGGTGGCAGCAACGGCGGTATCAACGTGATCGGATCAACGGCCACTGGAACAACCGCCGGAAACTCAGTAGTCTGTGGAGTGGGAGCAAGTGTGGGTGGCGGTGCTGTTCAGGTTGTGGGTTGCCAGCAGCTGCAGATCGAAAGGGGACACCAGGGGACAACAACAGTTTGGACAGCGGCGGGCGGAGCTTTCGGCGGCGCAGGCGGGGTCAGGCCGGAGGCCAAAGTTGAAGGGGGAAGAAGCACGCCCTCACTGCAGGTACGCACTTTAACACATGGTTGACTTGTATGATAACAATAAAAATCACGATTACTCAATAATTCAAGAGATCGTTGCGCGTGTAGAACGAAAGGCGTCGTTTGCGCGAGACAATCATTTGAAGTTGGTTGGCGTTACAATTGAACAGTGATCACGGTAACTTTAGTGTTTTTGTATACGTTTTTTTCATATGTACGTCATGTAATTTTCGTGTGTATATGTGGTCGATCAGGTGACAGTTCAGCTCTTGAGCACTTGAGTTGAGCAGAAAAAGCAGCCCACCCTTTTAGTAGTAGTATGAGTTCTGATAGAACTACCCTAGGTCTACCTGGCAGCTTTCTTTCATTATCTTCTTGGAGTAAGCGGGTACATTTTTAATAGCCATATAAATCTTGGGTAGTTAACCCACAATTATTCATTCAAGAGGTCACATTATTCCTCATCTATAATGTAATATTTCTGTTCAATGTAAAACGGTGGTTTTAGCAAGTCTGACCATGCACAGCTGTCTGCTTCTAAATATAACGATGTTCGTCGCCTATTCAACGATAGGCCTCCGTGTGTCAGCTTAATCAGTGTTTAGCTACGCCTATGCAGCTGCAAATTTCGCTTACCTCAATTAACCAACCGGCCTGACTCACGCTCACGTTGCACTAAGTAATGAATCAATGTCTTATCTAATGCTATGACGGCACACGCAGCCTGCGCAGCAACAGCAGGTGCAGGTGGTGACTACAGTGAGAGGCCAACAGCAACAGCCGAATTACCTTCATCATCAGCCCCACAGTGTTGCTGTGGCTCCCCCAGGGCCCACAGGTGTAAGTGTCGTGCATGCAATTCGACCGCAACAGCAGCAGCAACAACAACAACACATTCAGCAACAGACGGCAGCTCATCAGCAACCGCAACATTTAACCGCGCATACGACTACCGTGAGTAGAAAGGAAATGAGCAAAGCAGTCGATTTATGAACATCGATCCATTGCCATCAAACACCACCTGTGCACTGCAGTTCGCTTTTGCTTCAGGCTGTATTTTGAACTAGTAACGCTTTAGTAGCTTCAATCAAGAATGCAATTCTGCTCTGGGGTTTTTCTGCGATTTAGCCTTAAATATGCTTGAAACGCGATTAAGGGGGTCATTTGGTGATATGCCTTTGTGTGTTTGTGTTAAAGTGTGGAAGTAAATAAACAGTATACTTTTAAGTTATTAGAGGAAGTACCCTGATTTGGTGGTCGGTGTTTGGTGATTTGTCTTTGTGGAACAAACTAACATCTGCATTATAGACTAACTTGCCGACTTTGAATTGTCCGACTAACCCTCGAAAAAACCATATTTAAACACGCTGCCACTCAAAACAACTTCCGAATGGGCAATTTATTGTGCGATCTTGGACGGTACAATTCTTCGGCGATCCACATTCTTCTACTTGTGCTCCGACAATGAAACGCGATGCTCATCCGGACTTCATCGGTAATTGAATACTGCAGGCCCCTCGGCCCATGCTAAGACAGACAGCACAGACGCAGCAAACTAGTCCGGTGCTGGTTACGACAGCCAGCACTACAACCAGCTGCACGCCACAAGTGGGCCATCAAGTTGTACAGGCGACGCCTTCGATCGTGCAAAATCAAACGCAAATTGCTGTTTCGACCGCACCTCAACAGCAGCATCAGCAGGTAGCAGCCTCTAGTGGTCATATGACCGTTACGACATCAGGAGCCGTCGGCGTAACAACGGTTGGAACTCCCGTAGGTGGCGTCGGTGTGCGAATGGCCAGCCCACAGGTGATCAGACAAGTTACTGGAGGCCAGATGGGCTCCGTGGCCGTGGCGACCATCAAGGACGGTCAGGGTGGACAACAGAACGTGCTTATGAAGGTCATCTCATCACCGCAGACCACGGCGATTCAGGGCCAATTGGCAAACAAAGTTCAGCCACCTGCGAGGATTGGCAGTCCCGCCGTCGTTAAGGCGGTTAGAGCCAGCCCGTCTCCAGTCTCCCCGGCAGCAGTACCACTTAGTCCAAGCTCAATCGTAACGCACGGTCATACCCATACGGCCGGCACTTCGAAAATCCATATCGTCAATAATGTTAACAGCACTCAGCAACATCAACAAACGCCAGCGCAACAACAGTTAACCAGTCAACAGCAACAGCAACATCAGCAGCAATCGCCACAGTTACCAAATTCGACTCAGCTGCAGCCGATGCAAAATCCAGGTTAGTATTTTTGATACATAAGCCATAAAAAAAACTTCAACTAATTCTTTTTTCTGATCTCTTTTTTGACCTCAAATCAAAAATAGTATCATTTGATGGTTTCAGTAGCGTGCATTGTTATTATCTGCTATATTTCTGATTTTTGGATAAGTTAAAATTTTGTCAGTTGATCTATTATTTATACAGAACCGTAAATTTATTACACATTTTTTATTATTAAACGAGGTGTGCTAACATTTATGTTTTATCTATTTCAGTTGTTTCGGTCGCAACGAGTATGTCATCGCCAGGTGGTCAGCAAACGCAAGTGCATCCACAACAGATTGTGGTGTCAGGGGGTGTAATTCCACAGGTCGTACGGGCTGGCGCAGCCAGCCCAGAATCAATTAAACTTCAGGTTCAGAACTCCGTTCAACAGGCAATAGCAGGCCAGCGTCTAGCTGCACCCTCGCCACCTAATTCTGGGTCTCAGCCGTTGCACGTCCGGGTGAGTTCGGCCGCCACTAGTAATATAGCAACACAACCCTAAACAGGACGTTAACTGGCTCGTGCTGATTCATCAACGCTCGATGGACTTCTATCAGATGGACTTTTAGGCGTGTTGTTCGGCATTCGGCACAATTTGCTTGCGGTCAAAACGTTACGGCTATAATGAGATCGCTCTAGACTGAAATTTGTTCGCAGATGAAAACAAAGACAGCAAACTAATTCAAGTAGTACTTTTCTCTTTGCTTCTATTTAATGACAATAAAAACTGCTACGCTATTAGAGATAGCGTGACATAGCATTTCAAAACGCTTCTTGGTTCCGTGGCTCTGTCCTAGTGTGATAATAGTGTGTTAATGGGTATGCGCGTACGTGTGTCTTAACAGATATCTGAATGAATAAAATCGATAGTAGCTCCTTGTGGGTGGTGATGGGTTTCTTCTGGCGCCTAATAATAATAATAATAACAACAACAGCAACCGTACTGTGTACTAACTCACTGACTCTAATCCTCTTCCTGGCTGCTATTTGGAATTGCATGATTTTTGGGTTCGATTCGCTTCGTGTTGGGGGTCTTCATCGTCGTTTCGTTATTTCATCGTGATACGGCCATCGTATCAAACAGGTTCGCATCAACGGTCCTGCAGCTGGCACGACTGCAACTTCGGGACACACCGTTGGTGCAGGTGGCGCTAGTGCGGGCCAGGTGGTTCAACTTGCCGCTAGCCAACTGTTGAGTCCGCAAGTTTCAAGCCTTCAAGTGACCTCGAATTCTCCGCAGGCTGTTCAGGCAATCGTGTCGCAGGGACCAGCGACGACTTCAACGCCTCCCGGAGTGGCAACAACCACTTCAGGAAATTCGGTAGCAACAACGGCGATTCAGCACCAACAGCAGCAACAGCAGGGTCAAGGAGGGACAGCGACGCCCCCGACATCAACGACGCAGCGAATTATCACTACGCCCGGAGCCACTGGAAACAAGATCATGATTCCCGTCAACTCGCTACTGCAGCAGGGCGCCATTGCGACGTCAGTAAACGGTGTGCCTGTGCTTATTATTAAGAATCACCAGACGGGCCAACAGCAGATTGTGCATATGCGACAGGTGCAGCACGTTCAAACGGTCCAGTCTGTATCGCAACAACAACAGCAACAGCAGCAGCAGCAAGTGTCGGCCGGAAGCGCGGGGCAACAGAGCACTACTGGAGGAACGCATGCTCAGGTCCAAACGACCCAAGTGCAGGTGGTCACCGCCGCGCAGTCATCGGCCACAACAGCAGGAACTGGCTCGTCGCAGCTCAATCGGCAGCAGTTGACGTCACCTGCAGGAGCGCAGCTGGCGGTGCTGCGACAGGGGTCCGGAGGACTCAAACAACAAACGGTTGTCGTATCGCAAGCGGGACAGCAGAGTCCAGGAACGTCATTGAACAGGTTACCCATACAGGTAAGCCGTCACATATGTACCTAACAATAATAATAAATAATGTGCATATGGGCATAGAGACTGTTTTTATTCGACGGAAAAGACGATTCAAACTATATAAATATCTACAAAAGAGAACAGAAGGACATGAAGTTTATTAAAGGAAAATACAAATAGTGAATATTAAATAGTGACAAATAGTTCAACCAAGAAACAGTCTCAAGCAAGCTTTTACTACAAGCGTGCGACTTTTTAACATGACAAATGCTTATTAAAATGGATTAATAAATAAGGTCGTTAAATCTTGTCTTAAATACTACACTGAATTAATGAGGCTTTCCGTTCATGTCTTCACTAATTAGGTAACGCTACCAGTTGGCCCAACAGGAGGAGGTCAACAAATTGTAGTTCCGTCAAGCCAGGCCAGCTCGGGCGCTGCTGTCGGAACAACGGGAACCCCTGTAACGGTTGTAACAGCATCAGGAGGACAAGCCCAACAGGTTCAACTAATTAGCGGTGAGACATCAACGCTTAGTTTTGGCCAGCAGCACTCCGGCACGACTCAGACAGGAGCAGCCCCATCCGGAGCAATTCAGGCGGGCGGATCAGTAGTCGTCAGCACGCCTAGTCCGGTTGTTAGTCAGAGCGGTAGCGTCTTCTCGACAGGAGGACAGCCGATCACAGTGAGCGTCGCCACCACTACCCCCGGCAATAATGTCGGCAGCACAGTTATTAGCAGTAGCGGGAAGACTCAACAGCTACAGACCACGAGCATCGCTCAGGGAACAGGTGGTCATCAACAACAAGCTCAACAACAACAGATCCATCAGGTCAGTCCAAGTCAACTCCCTCAGGTAAACAGGTTTGTTAACACGGGTTATTTTCGTTTGAACGCAAAAAGGCTTTGGTGCAGTAGATAATTGAGGCTCAAGGTGGTGGTAAGGCTGCATATCCTTGCATGGCTTCGAATGGCAAACTCTGCTTTCGCTTGAAATTTAATTAGTTTGATTCATCAATTGCTTTACCCAGTTTTTTCCCCGTCAGTAGAGATTTTGTGTAGTGAGTAGCAGAACGAGTGAATCAATAATTTCCGGTTAATTTACTGGATTATTTGAAGTCAAGAGATGAATTGTCAGCTGAATATTAACCTGTAGAAATGAATCATGAAACAGGAGAACAAATATACCTTTAGCAAAGAGAATTTTTCAGATACATAATCTGTTTGCTAGCTGTAAACTTCTGTACTTCCATGTCCATCATAAGGTTTCTCTTAAAACGTATGCGTGCTCGTTTTCATCTGCGTACAGGTGGTTCAGGTGGTCGGACCAAACAGCGGTTCGGCAGGAGGCACGATACCATCATCGGCCATCGTGGTCAACCAGAGCGTGCAGAGACTGGTCACAGTCTCGCCTGACGTCCTGCAGGCGGCAGTGAAGTCCGGACAAACGAAGATCATCACGTATAAGCCCGCGCTACAACAGCCCCTGATAGGAGGGAGGGCCAAGGTGGTCGCTGCAGAAGTCGTGGGGAGCCAGCAACATAAACAGCAGAAAAAAGATCAGCCATTGCAACAGCAGCCGTCGCAACAGCAGCAACATCATCCCGGCCAACAACAGCCTGTTGGCAAGGCAGCTAACAAACTATTAGCAAAAATTTTACCTCATCCTCCCGGGGTTCTGCAAGGTCCACAAAACCAACGACAACCACTGCAGAAAACGCCAGGTGGAGTTGCTGTCGTTCAGCAGGTTCCATCGGCAGGGGTCACCGTTGTCCAGCAAGGTGTCACGCCTACGGTAACAGGTGTACCCCTAGGGTCGACACCGCAACAAACACAGGTGATCCAACAGACCCAGCATGTTGCTATCACAGGAGCACAGCAGGTGGCGAGAGTGCAGGGCAGTCCCGTTCAAGTGGTAAAGAAGATCCTACCAACTGTTGGGACACCTTCTCTAAACAACAACAACAATAATAGCACCAGCAACAACAACAATAAGCCCACGAGCACAATAATCGTAAACAAGACAAGCACAGTTGCTCAAGTGCTTAAAGCGCCAATCATCGCGCGCCAGGTATCGGAGAAAGAGCGTCTTCGTGAGATCACTCCAGTGCTTGACGAAGACGCTCTCATGGAACAGATTATGGCCGCCGAGGTCAAAGAGCAAATGGCTGCAGTGAAACGAACGATGCTACAATGTGTTAAAGCGGACCGGGACGAACTCGACAAGGACTTAGTGCTTAATGGAAACGCTTTGGATAAAGAGGAAGCCAAGGAATCGATGCCCGTTCCAAGCCGGCAGGACAACCCAGCCAGCCCGATGTCTGGCAAAATCGAGAACGGCGGTAATAATGACGATCCTCCAACAAAGAAACGTCGGATAAGTGACGATGCTGATGCCCTGCGCTCAATAAGTGACGCTCTCACTTTTGCTATATTGAGTGAGAGCTGCTCTGCTGTCGCGGAGGAGGATTTGAATGCTGAAAAGACCATCGAAAACGAAATGTCCGTGACACTTCCAGTATTGTCGAGTGACAGCGATGTTGACGACGACAAAGACTCGGAGTCGGATCCGGTGAGCGTCATTGCCGCTCGCGGATCTCGTATCGGACCTCCACCGCGGAAAGCGCGTAGACGACGTAGAAGCTACTGCAGCATTCTAGCCGAATCTGCCATTTTGCTGCATGAGTCCAACAAACGAAGCCAGTCAGCAGCTCAAGAGCTAATTGCATCGGTTGCTGATAAAATGATGGAAAAAGCTTTTGGTCCATTAACTACACCGCAGCTTCACGGAAACAACCAGGTGACAGGTGGTGGTTCCGATGCGCAACACGGTCCGCACGCAATCCTTAACGGGAAGGTTGTTAGCGTACAGTTAGCGTCAGGCAAACACAACTCTAACGATGAGAATGTCGAGCGTCGATTGGTCGGGTCGCCCGCCGCCCCGAGTGAAGACGGCAATCCGGCGAACACAAAGCCACTCGTCATCAAGCAGATGGTTATGCTTGGCCCGAACACGCCGAATGCGCGAGATCATCATCAGCAGCAACACCATCATGGCGCCGCGAGTTCCGCGAACACCGGCTCCCCACACGTTGCCTCCCCCCTGGCCAAGAAGAAGAGCGCCGCGTCGACGACACCGCAGAACAAAGACGACCAAACAGGTGTACTCCATTCTCGCTACAAATGCCAGGAATGCCAGCGTGGGTTCTTCTCGGCATACAACTTACGTCGCCATTTGAAGAATGTCCACAAAATCGACATGGGTCCACCTGTGACAACGACACCAAGCTCATCAACCCCATCGTCATCGTCCTCTCCAGCGACATCCTCGACGGCAGCATCATCCTCTGCTGTGGCAGCTTTGCAAACACCACCGACAGCGTCGCGACCTTCTCAACCACAATCGCATTTGATGGCTGCCCTCAACGGTGGGAGCCTGGGCGGCCCAGTGAGTAACAGCAGCAGTGTAAGCGGAAGTGCACCCGAATCCGATCATGACGACAGCTCGCTCGATCATTTTGTCGTAGTTAACCACTCGATTGTGGCAGGAAGTTCTGTAGTTCCACCAAAAAACTCACTTGCGGCGCTGCTGGAAGCGCCTCCGGTGCATGCAAGCCCTCACATTTGATGAGGCTAGCAGTCGTATGGAGAGGACGAACAAGACGAAATGAGTAATAACGATTGTTTTTGGTTGGTTGTTGATGAATAATCTATGAACGACATCGATATGCTGATGAATTGATGTGATGACAATGGTTGTAGATGCGGATCGAATTGGCAACTAGTGAAAATAGAGAACTTACTGAATTTTGTGGGATCTCAATTTTGTTCATGGCCGAGGTGAATATGGATATACATGTGAGCACGCCACATTTGCGAGGGTTGCTGCCCAGTCCATCAAATGGAGTATATGCGCCTGCTTGTTATGTGTGTTTGGCCATTGTTATAACTCGACGAGTAATCGTAGAGTTAAACCTAGTTTGAAGAACGACTTTCGCAAACATGTTCGTTTCAGCAGGAACCAGAACAATAACGAATGACCCAATTAGTTTCAAATACTATTGGCCTTTCCGCTCAGTAAATAGCTTATAAATAGCTCTCTTTGAAGATGAATTTCAACTTGAACAAATTCAGGTATTTCTCATATGTATTTATAACAGCAGATATAAAATGATAGCTATCGACTGAACTGTATTAGGTCGTGAATCAATCGGGTAGAGACTGTGGCAACATTGTCCACCGGCTGACTGTCCAGGTTTACCAAGTTGGACATAGAGCCAATAAATGGCGCATTGAACACTGAGCGACCGTGTAAATCTACTTTTGTGTTGTGAATATGTCATTGTGTGACTGTTTGCGTGCCCGGCAAGTTTTAATAACCTATTCGTCAGCTCACATCCCTTTAACGGGAACTGTAATGGCTATTATGGCATAGCTGCTGACGAGCACTATTTCCTGGAATATAGCGTTGGATTATATTATATTATTATTATGCTGGACAGTGTGTTTATTAAAGGTGAAGTGAGGGTAAAACGTGAAAACGCTCGTTGAGACTGTCCGTCAACAACTAGTCCCTATTGCATTTTATTTAATTTGCGTAATTTTAAGTAAGCGTTCACTTTTTCTTTATTAGTTGAGTTCAACATATTTCGAATGTAAAACATGTGCGCTGTCCTATATGTGGTTAAGAGTTAAATACAACAGTGCGAGGCCGGTGCTTTCGCTTCTGCGATTGGCGGAAGGGAATCATGTATTTTTCGGCATCAAAGAGCGCTCTATAGTTCAGCTGCAGTATGCATACTGTACTTAATGAAAATACAGATCATTCTGTTGATCATGAATTAGAATATGTTGAATTGTTGTGAAAAAATCTGTTGAGTTTGTTGCCAATTTGATTACCACCTGCTTTGACAAATCGTCGTTCTATTGTATAATAATGAAGTATCACCTATTTTTAAGCTCTGGGAAAAATAACAGTAATAATATTAATACCATCGATTTCGCGAAAATGATTCTTTTCGCACACATCAGCCAAGTAAAATCATATCGGCAACGGCAAACTGCGCAAAAATTAGATATCAGTCTAATTAATTCGTGTTAAACTGAGATCACTTGCAAATTATTGTTTCGGCAGAACCGAGACACTTGTATTACTTCGTTGCCCGCCGCTTGTATTATAGAAAGTATAATAATCCCACATAAGAATTTATTGACGGACACGAGCGAACATCTATGACGATGTCTGTAATGTACAATTGATGTATTATTATTATATGTATGAGCATATGGAAATGCAGATACTTCAACAGATGCAAATGATCCAACCATACAAGTGCAACTGATATGTATGGATGAGTACGATGAAGATGATGATGCTTGTGTGCTTTGGTCTGTTCTGTGCATGTGTATGTGTATGTGCGGGTATGCCGATAATACGGGAATATAATCAAATTAGTTGAAAAAATTTTGTGAGATTAAATGCAAAACGTTTCTAAACGGAATTATTACAATGAGACGGAGGTCGATAGTGATAGTTATTGAAGATTCTAGGAGAGAATGACTCCGGTAAAAAAGAATCCGTCGAAAAATACGCTACCGATAAATAAATACATAAATGCATGGTTGAGCGCCGAAAAAACTCCAACGTGGTTTCTTGATGAGGCCCATTGTGGAGACAGGCATGCAGTTGAAGTCTGCAAATATGTAAAATATATATATATATATATATATTTGATGGAAACTATAGTAAAATTCTATGCCTCTGATGTCACTATTATAAGAGAGATGGAAAAAGCACCACCGCTGCTTGGAGATAATCATATATAATTACTATTACATAGATAGTAAGACAGAAAGTACATACGACCCTGCGAACCTGACAAACTGACAATAACAATGATATAATCTTATTCATAGTTATACTTACATAGATATCTGTAGAAATGATCTTGATGATAATAAGAATAACAAAGGCGATAATAACAATAATAGTTATAATATCGAAGAATAATAAAAATATATATATATATATATTAGTATATATTATAAATATTGCGATTATTAACAATATAGAAAATGGATAAGAGACAGTGGCGAGAAAACGGCGCCAGTTT